GGGAGGGACATCATGCTTGGGAGGGTGGAGGGACAGCGCAGGAGGGGAAAGACCCTCTATGAGATGGATTGATTCAGTGCCTGGAGTAATCGGTATGGGTGTGTCAGAGGCAGTGCGGTTGGCGCAGGATAGAGCAGGGTTTAGGGCTGTTGTGCATAGTGTCGCTATGAGTCGGAAATGACTCGATGGCACATAACAACAACATACCTGATGGTGATTCTGGAAAGGGTCATGTTCTTCTCCAGTAGGAAATTAGAGGCGCTCGGGTGGCCTGAGTCAAGGTGCTGGGCTGCTAACTGAAAGGCAGGTGGTACACACCCATTAGGAGCTCTGGCGGCCTGGTGTTAAGGAGCTGCACTGCCAGCCCAGACAAGTGGTTCAAATCCACCAGCAGTTCCCCAGGAGAAAGAAGAGCAAGTCTCCTCCATGCAGTTTACAGCCCCTGAAAACCTGCTGGAGGGTCAGCTCTGAGCTGGTGCTACTCCACAGCAATGAGAAAGGGTGCACGGCACTTCAGGATAAAGGGGTGGCAGCCTGCTCCCCTAAGGCTTTACGGCCTTGAAAACCCTATGCAAGTACTTGTACTCTGTCTTATAGGATCGGTACAGCTCATAAGATGCTCAACAGAAACAATGTTGTTTTGTTAGGAGCTGTCACTCAACTATAACTCATAGCAACCCTAGGAACAACAGATCTGAACCTTGCCCTATCCAGCACCATCTTCATCATCTTGGATATACTGTGGCCATTTGTTAGCCATTGTGCTCATTCATTTTGTTGAGGGTCTTCTGCTCTTTTGCTGACCTTCCACATTTCCAAGAATGACGTCTTTTTTCCAAGGACTGGTCTCTCCTAACGACATTTCCAAAGTATTTTTTTTAATAAGAAAATCAAGTTATTGGACTAACTTTGGAGAAAGACCTAGAGCCTTTCCAATTGAAAGTGAGCCTTTGTTTTCAAGATTTGGGGCAGTGTGCAGTTGCTGGACCCACTCCTGAGGCCCAACCCTTCAAAGCAGCTCTGAGCATTACCAGAATATCCTCAGACACGTGTTCTGCTGCAGGGCCCGAGCCAGGCTCTTTCCTCCTTCTGTGGAGATGCCGTTGAATGCGAGACTAGAAAGGAAACACTTGAGGTAGATTATTACAGACACTCTCCACTCAGCTGAAGCCTCAAGCTGGGAGGACTCAGCCTGCCCGGACTGACATGTGACAGGAAACAGAAGTGTTTGGTCACATCAGTGGCTCCTAGGCCTTGTAGCTGCGGAAGCCATGCTCACAGCAGAGGACAGAACACAGGAGCCCTGGCCACGTGCTGGGGACAGGGCTGAGTTCCTCACATTTTTACATAAGGAGAGGCTGGAGCCAAGAAAACTCCTTCTCTTCCTATAAAGAAGGGCCCGTCCTGGATTCCTTTTTGGTGACAGGAGGGATGTAGTCAAAAAGAACACTAAGGACAGCATGCCCAGGACATTATGACAGTGAAGACCAGGCAGGGACTTGCCAGCAAGTGTCCCTTCCAGTTTTATCTGGACTCGGGAATTCTTTCTCATTACTCAAAGGAAGCGACAAAGTAGGAAGTAGAGACTGGACATGTTCTATATCTTAACACGCTGCCGCACAATTTTAAATTGACAACCACGCTTAGAAACACTTTTTCCCGCCCAACTGTTTATGACTGCCATACGAATGATGTTCCTTTTTTTATTAATTAAAATGTGCGGGGCGGCTATAGCCATCATTTGTGGCAATGTGTTAATGAGGGTGTTGGATTACATTGGTGTGTACCTAAGTAATATTAACTGAGCTAAACATTCAAGAGTAAAGTACTTTATACCATATGCATCTTATTCAATAATAGTTAATTAAAAAAACACACACACACATAAATTCCCCACACCTAGCTTCCAAGAAAACCAAGCATCAATCCTTTTTTTCCCCTTGGTTCCCCTATGGGCAAAGGAAGAGAACTACACAGTGGCCATGTTGGTCATGCTCCGTCTAGAAAGTTCCCTGGAGACAGCACATCTTGGAAGTTACCTCAGGTTGGTCAAGCTGGGGTGGTTCCTCAGAGCCTCTGCGAAGGCCTTTGCTCCTTCATCTCCGATTTTATTGCCCCACATCCTGAAGGCAGGGCAAGACAGTGAAAGTTAAGTTCCCTCCCAAAATAATATGCAACTCTTAGCCCTCATTTTCTGCCAGGGGCAAGGCTGGAAGGTTTCCTCAGCAGGGAGATGCTCTGCTTGGTCCCTGCAATGGTGGCCCAAAGACGAATTCCTTCCCCTGCGTGGGGGCTGCAGAATGGTTTCAAATGCCAAGGGAAATGGAAGAAGAGAGTAGTAGAAGCCTAGTGAACAGAAGTTGATGGGCAAGTTACATCATCAGAGACCAGCCCTGAGCTTTTGGGAAATTTTGAGTCAGAGACGCCAAGCTTGGGACTAGCTCCAGAAAGAAACTACTTAGGCTTCACCTGGTGAGAACGAAGAGGGGATCAGCCTGGAAACAGGCCCTGTGTGGATGCTGGATCCCCAGCATCAGTTACCTTCACTCAATGGAATCACAGCCCTTTTTAAGGATGCAGTCCACAGTGCCCATGAAGCAATGATGTCGCTGTTATGTGCTGCTGAATTGACTCCGACTCAGAGACCCTGTGAACAACCCTTCTGGACCCTGTCCTATCCTGTGCCATCCTCATCATCTCTGACACACGTGAGCCCACTGCTGTAGTCATGGTGTCAATCCATTTCATTGAGGGTCTTCCTGTCTTTCGCTGACCTTTTTCAACATGACGTCCTTTCCCAAAGAACAGCCTCTTCTAGCAACATGTCCAAGTATGTGAGATGAAGCTTCACCACCAGTGCCTCTAAGGAGCACTCCGCTTGCACTTTCTCCAGGACAGAGGTGTTTGTTCTTTCGCGGGTCTTTGGGACATTCAGTTCTCTCCCTCCATCATCACAACTCAAAGGCATGGAAGCAAAGAGAAGTTAGTGCACTTAGAAACCTTAGCAACGTGTCTCCTTTATGCAAGGAGGATGATATCAACCGAGGCTGCAATCTTGAGTGGGAAGGAGGTGAAATGACAGCTGTACTCTCACTCAAGCTGATAATCTGAGAGGATCTGACTAAGCCCATGTGGTGTACTGGACTGCAGCTAGACTACAGGGCTCACATCCTGTGTGACATTAGCAAATTAGATACCTACCTTTTTGTTTGTTTTTCAAAATTTTTAAATTGTTGCTTCCATTGTGTTTCATTCATGTACACTGTGTTCTACACAATTCTTCATTCACATTGTGCTTCATGCAACCATTCATACATGCTGTGTTTCATGTAACTGGTCACTATTAATTTATGTTTATTACCATCCTGTCTCTTCAAGTCCCTATGGAATCTTTCCTATTCCTTCACCACCCTCATCCACCCACTAAACTCTGCTGCCCTAGTGACTCCCACCCTCCCCCTTTTTCCACCCTCTCTTCTTCCCGCCCCCCCCCTTTTGGATATTCATACACATCTAAATAGCTATCCTTCCATTTCTACAATAATGGCTCATGCGGTATTTGTCCTTATATGACCAAATTAGTTCACTCAGCATAATGCTGTCTAGACTCTCCCATGCTATAGATATATAGTATTTTATGAAATAGCTGTTCTTTAGATAACTTCTTGAGTCTTAATTTTCCCATCTGTAAAATGAGACTAAGAGTATTCCCTGGTAGAGTGATTTAAGAGGATTAAATAAATTAGTACATGCAAAGAAAGCAAGCTTCCCTGGCCTGCTTGCAGCAGAACTATAGCTGCCTTAGCAACATACTCTCACCAAGTGATATGGGTCAAATTATGTCCCCCTCAAAATGCCTTCCAGCACTATAGCCAACAATGTGCTTCCATTACTCACAGGGTTTTCGAAGGCTGGCTGTTTCAGAAGTGGATGACCAATCCCACATCTTAGTTTAAGTCTTATCCTATCTTAGTCAATTTTATCCTTTCTCTCTATCTATTCAATCTGTATGCTGAGCAAATAATTTTAGAAGCAGGATTATATAAGAAGACCATGCCTTCAGAATTGGAGGAAGATTCTTCAACAACCTGCATTAGGCAGATGAAGCAACTTCATTGCTGAAAGTGAAGAATGCCTGAAGCACTTAATAAAGAAGATCAAAGTCTACAGCCTTCAACATGGATTGCATTTCAACACCAAGAAAACAAAATCCTCACCACCATCAACAACAACAAAAGTCTTAGACCAATATGCAACATAATCAAATTATAGAGAAAATATTGGCGATGTCAAAGATTTCATTTTACTTGAATTTCAGAATCAATACCCATGGTAATAACAGCAGTCAAGAAATGAAAAGACATGCTGCATTGGGAAAATCTGCCATCCAGGACCTCTTGTAAGTGCTAAAGAGCAAAGGTGTCAGTTTAAAGACCAAGGTGTGCCTGCTGCAAGTCATAGTCTTTTCAGCTGCTTCCTATGCACCTGAAAGTTGGGCAATAAATAAGAAGACCACAGAAGAACGGATGCCTTTGAATTGTAGTGTTGGAGGAGAGTATTGACTATCTCATGGACTGAGTAAAAACAAACAAATCTCTTTTGTTTTGGAGGAGGGGCACTTAGGGTGTTCCTTAGTGATGACACTTCATCTCACATATTTTGGGGGCCAGTCACTGGAAAAGCACATTATGCTGAGAAAGGTGGAGGGTCAGGGGAGAAAAAGACTCTCAACAAGACTGCAACAAGTTACAATGGGCATATCAGACAGAGTGTTGAAGGTAAGCAAGGTTCAATCTATTTTCACAGGGCCACTAAGCGTTGTAGTCAAGTTGATGGCACCCAACAACAACACAATATGTGAAGGAACCTTAACATAAACTAGATGAAATCCCACAGATGAATAGAATCTACTTTGCAACGTTAATCATGCAACATTAGCATAGGTCTGAATTTAAGGAACAGGATAGTCACAGAGGAAAGCAAGCACAAATGAGGCTAGACAGATGCCACATGGAGGGTGCCAAGAACCCGAGGAGTGTGGCTAGGACAGAAGCTGAAAGGGACAGGTCTCCCCTCAGAGTCCCCTGAAAGAGAACCTTCCCTTAAGCTGAGCCTAACAGCACCAGGAAATCAAGTCCCCAAGCACATTACCTGCCTACAAACAGCCTTGTATGACCTGCTGGAACCACCAGCAAATCAATGTAATAGTTTTCAATATTTCACTTAAAAGGTGTATGTACTATATATACCATAGAGTAGAGAACTCTGATTGCCTAGTGGTAAAAGGATGAGCTGCAATCCTGAAGGCACATGGTTCGAATCCATCAGCTGCTCTGTAGGGGAAGGATGGGCAATCTCCTCCCGAACAAGTAACTGCCTCTGAAAATCTGCTGGAGAATCGTCTTTGGGTCATTTCTAACTCAACGGCATACACCAGTAACAATTATATAATTGTATGGCATCGAAATTTTAATGACATAAATAAAAAAACAAACCCCCCCCCAAAAAACCAGGGTAGGATAAAATTCAGTATATACTTTGAACTCTAATATATTTTTTTAAATGAGGCAAAAGAAAGGCCAGAATAGAGAAGAGAGAAGAGGCTGAGTTACATTGTCTTCAAATGTTAACAATTATGACTGCAGATGAGATGGACTTCTGTTTTATTTTCATATTTTCTAGTTTCCAGATAACATTGCATTTTTATGATCATATTAAAAATACACATTATGAAAAGCTTTAAGAAGCTTCCATAGACATATTCTTAAAATATTGGTAAGACATATTCTTAAAATATTGGTATCTTATGAACACTCAGACATGGAACCCCTCTCCCTGCTCTGTCCACAGGACTAGGACCCCCTTCTGAGTGCTATTGGTGGTAACACTGACTGTCTCCTGAGTTAAACAGAAGCCTGCACAACTGCAGTTTCCAAAGATCCTGAGATTTCCCACAAGGTTTCCTCCATAAAAGCCGGGTCTCTGATCTGAAAGTTCTGCAGTTGTCCGCCCACTGCTTGTCCCACCATTCTGCTGATGGCTTAAAAACCACCACCACTGGCCCCATGTACACGGAGCCCACAGATGTGTGCACTGGCTTCTACTCACCCAACATCAAAGATTGATCTGCTGTTCTTCACCGCCAGGGCGAGACACTTGCCTCCTTCACTAGTTATTTTGTTTTTTCCTATCCTGCAAAGAGAGTCAGGTAGGTGGTGGTGATGGTGGTGGTGGTCTACTTCCAGTGTGAGGGGGCTCTAACAACAGGCCCCCACCTGCCCAGGGCAAGAGTCCCTTCTGACCCTGTGGATCTGTGGTCTCCCATGTGGAGCGCCCATGCAATGAAAGTCAACAGTCATGTCCTGGCTTTCCGACTACCAGAAGCTGAGGAAGCCTGTCAGGGCGGTACCTCCCCAGATGATCTACGATTTCTGAAGATATTCAGGGGCTCTAGCACGTCCTAGAGTTCTCTGAAGGACCTCGGAGGGCCCCTCCTTTCCACAGGTCCAAGGTGGACCAAGCCAACTCTCCATGCTGGAGGTTTCCACGGAAAGGAGAGGCTCAAGCCTATGCCTAACAGCAGACAGGGCAAGGATGACCTCTTCTTTGGCTTCTCAAGAAACAGGGAGAGTCGTACCCTTGTCTCCTTGTCATGAGTTTTGTGAACTCAAAGTGCCTTCCCCCTACCAAACTCAAGCCTTGCTCCCAAACCAAGCCTTGTCAGGGTCATGATTTTTCCATGTGGCCAGTTCACCCTTCCACTCCCCCAAGGTAAGCAGAAGGAGCCCTGGTGGCAGAGTATGTTAATCGCTGGACTGTCAACTAAAAGGTCAGCAGCTCAAATCCACTGGTTACTCCGTGAGAGGAACACAAGGCAGTTTCTCTGATGGCCTAGTGGTAAGGATTTGCACTGTCAGCTCACAGGCACATGGTTCAAATCCATCAGCTGCTTCATGGGAGAAAAATCAGTAATCTCCCTGCATGTGATTTACAGCTTCTAACAACCTACTGGAAGGTCTGCTATGGACCAATTACAACTCGATAGCACACAATAACAACAACAACAAGAAGTCCTTCTGCTAAGATCTACAATGTAGAAATCCAACGGAGGTCACCATGAGTTGGAAGCTCGATGGCAGTGGTTTTAGGGCAAGCAGAAGATTTTAGGGTGCAAGTTATTTATGTGACATTCATTCTTTGAATACTGGAGAGGTGGCTAAGGCAAGCCAAGGAGACTGGCAGCAAGTGAGGAAGCGGCCCACCCCACCCCACTTACTTTAGGTGTGTGATGCTTTGGCATTCATCCAGCATCCTGGCGACATACTTCGCACCCACATCAGTGATCTGGTTGTTGTATAAGCTACAAGAGAAATACAGGCATTAGACAATACAACTATAGATGTCATTTGTTGTTGTTGATATGTGCCAGCCAAGTTTCCTGTGACTCATAGCGACCCTATGAACAACAGCCCTAAATCCTGTGCTAATCTCACTGTCTCTGACACACCTACTCCGATTACCCCAGTCACTGAATCAATCCATCTCATCGAGGGTCTTCCTCTCCTGTGCTGTCCCTCCACCCTCCCAAGCATGACATTCCTGGCCAAGGACTGGTCCCTCCTTGCAACATGTCCAAAGTATGTCAGACAAAGCTTCAGAATCCTTGCCTCCAAGGAGCAGCCTGGTTTAACCCTCTCTAGGTTGAACCTGTTCATTTTCTTAGCAGTCCATGGTATATTAAATACTCTTCTCCAACACCATAATTCAAAGGCATCAATTATCCTTCTATCCTCCCTAGTCATTGGTCAGCTGACGCATAGCAAGTGATTGCAAAGCATCTTAGTCTCCAGAGTGACACCATTGCTCTTCAGTACTTTGGAGAGGTCCCTAACAGAAGGCTTTCCCATTTCAATACGTCTTTTCATTTTCTGGCTGCTAGTGCCATGAGTGTTGACTGTGGAGCCAAGCAAACTAAAGCTGTTAACAATCTCAGTCTCTTCACCATCCATCCTGATGCTGCCAGTTGGCCCAGTGGTGAGAATCTATTTTCTTGATACTGAGCCTCAATCCATATTGAAGGCTGCAATACTTGACCTTCTGCAGGAAGTGCTTCAGGTCCTCCTCAGTTTCAGCAAGCTGGGTTGTGTCATCTGCATAACGCAGATTGTTGATGAATTTTCCTCCAATCCTGATGCCCTATTTCTCCTCATAGAGCCCAGCCCCCCGGATAATCTGTTCTGCATAGAGATTGAAAAGGTATGGAGATAGGACACAACCCTGGCATACACCCTTCCCAATTTTGAACCTTGAAGTGTTTCCTTGCTCTGTTCTGATGACTGCCTACTGATCCAAGTATAGGTTTCGCATTAACACAATCAAGTGTTCTGGGATTCCCATTCTTCTCAGAGTCAGCCACAGTTTGTTGTGATCCACACAGTCAAATGCCTTCACATAGTCAATGAAACACAGATAGACATTCCTCAAATTTTTCTAAGATGTGATCAGGTACTTTTGAAGAGTTTCAAAGTCTGGGTTGGAAAGAGAAAGAATAGGCACATGAAAACAAGGGTTTGGAGCTCTGAGGCCTCACACACTAGTTCCCCCACCTTCCCCAGCATTCTGATCCTGGACAAGCTACTTAACTTCTCCGTGCCTCAGTTTTGCCATCCAGATTTCAGATGGAATAATCAAATCATGTTGTTAGGAGGGGCCAGTCCTTTGGAAAATTACTTGGAAAGGTGGAGGGTCAGAGAAGGAGGGGAGACCGCTGTGAGATGCACTGACACGGTGACTGTATCCGTAGGCTCAGCCATAGCAGAGGTGAGGAGGGTGGTGTTGGACAGGGCGGGGTACAGATCCACTGTTCACCAGGCTGCTAAGAGTCATAGCAACTTGACTCAACCACACTTAACGACAACAATCAAATCACAGGGCTCTCAAAGAGTTTTATCTGAGGAATTCTTTTTATGATTATATGTGATGGCCCAAACAGAAGTAAGTGTTCATGAAATGGCAGGTGATGGGTGGTGGTGGTGGTTATGTGCCATTGAGTTGCATGTGACTCATAGCAACCCTATGTACAACAGCTCGGAACCCTGCAGTCTGTCTCACTGTCTCTGACACGCCTACCCCCATTGTCCCAGTTACTGTATCAGTCTACCTCCTCTGGGGTCTTCCTTTCCTGTGCTATCCTATCCCACCACCCTTCCAAGCATGATGTCCTTCTCCAAAGACTGGTCCTTCCTGGCCACATGCCCAAAATATATGAGATGGAGCTTCAAAATCCTTGCCTCCAAGAAGCCTGGCTGGTTTCACTCTCTCTAGAATAAATCTGCTTTTTCTCTTGGCAGTCCATGGTATGTTCAATACTCTTCTCCAGCACCACAACTGAAAAGCATCAATTCTTCTGTCATGCTTATTCACTGACCAGCTTTCTGATGCATAGCAAGTAATTGCAAAGATTGAATCAGGTAGACCTTAGTCTCCAGATTGTCATCATTGCTCTTCAGCACTTTTTAAAGGTCCCTGACAGTAGCCTCTCCTAGAACAATTCATCCTCTGGATTCCTGACTGCTGGTGCCAAGAATGTTGACTGGGGAGCTGAGCTAGCCAAAATTATTAACAACCTCAATCTTTTCTCCATCCATCATGGTGCTGTCAGTTGGCCCAGAGGTGAGAATCTTTGTCTTCTTGATGTTGACTTTAATCCATATTAAAGACTGCGGTCCTTGACCTCCTCAGAAAACACTTCAGGTCCTCCTCAGTTTCTGCAAACAAAGTTATGTCATCTGAATATCACAGGATGTTGATGAATCTTCCTCCAATCCTGATGCCACAATCCTCATAAAGTCCAGCCTCTTGAATGATCTGTTTTGCATACAGATTGAAAAGGTATGAAGACAGGATGCCTCCCTGATGCACTCCTTTCTTGATTTTGAACCATTCAGTATTTCCTTGCTATGTTCTGATGACTACCTCCTGGTCCAACTATTGGTTTCGCATGAGTGAGCACCATCAAGTGTTCTGGGATTCACATTCTTCTCAGAGTCAGCCACAATTTGTTGTAATCCACAGTCAAATGCCTTTACATAGTCAATGAACACAGATAGAAATTCCTTTGGTACTCTGCTCTCAGCCAAGATCTAGCTGAAGTTGGCAATAATGTCTCTGGTGCCATGGCCTCCTCTAAACACAACCTGTATTTCTGGCAGTTCTCTGTCAAGGTACTGTTCAGTCGTTTTGGGATAATCTTCAGCAGGATGTTGCTTATGTGTGAGATCAATGATATTGTTTGATAATTTCCACATTCTGTTGGGTCACCCCTTTTTGGAATGGGAAAAAAATATGGATTTCTTCCAGTCAGTTAGTATCAGGGAGTTGGATGGAGGCTGGGAAGTTTCTCTCTGAATGCTGGACCCTTTCTCAGAGTCTACATTTTAGTTGTCTTACCACTTGATGCAATTGATTCAACCGTAAGGTAAGATAGAGTTCAAAGTATGAACTAAATGCCTCTTGCTAAGGTTTTCAAGCATTTTTTATGGTCATCAGGACAGCAGAGCCAAATGGATCCTGGGGTCATTTCCTTCCTATTAAATATCCTCATTTCAAACACTGAGCCCAAAGAAGCCCCAGCTTTCTGTTTGAAGAATACCTAACATGCTTCAGAAAGTATGAAATGAGTAATTCATATTATTGAAAACGATCAAAGAATATAGCCTTCAGTATGGATTATACCTCAGCATCAGGAAAACAAAAGTCCTCCTAACTGGACCAAGAGACAAAATTATTAGAACAGAGAAGAGACTGGAGTTGTCAATGGTTTAATTTCACTTGGACCTACAATCAAAATCCATGGGGAAAGGAGTCAAGATATGAAGATACTTCAAGAAATGAGGTATTGCATTGGGAAACTGTGCTATACAAGATCTCCTTAAAGTGCAAAAGAGCAAAGATTCCATTTCAAGACTAAAGTACACGTGTCTCACATCATGGTATCTTCAATTGCTTCAAATGCGTGTAAAAAATGGACAATGAATAAGGAAAAACTTGTGACTTAATGTTTCTTAAAACTTACTGAGGGTCAGCTATGGCTCTGTTCTGACTCAATGGCACACAACAACAGCAACATAAAGAGGTGATAACTTTGAATTGTGATGTTTACAAAGAACACCCAACGACTACCAAGTGGCTGGTTTTCTCATACTCCAAAACCCACAAGGCTCTGAGAATCTAAGTTTTCCTAACTCTTCCGGAAAGTGGTGTGGTACTGTTTATGGTATTTATTTATTGCACTGTGACAATGCACACATTATGATGAAGAAACTTTTTTTTGATGGACTATTGTCTAAGGCCCCACAGTGGCCATACTGCATACTGTAGAGTATATTCACTGTGGTCTGATTCATGTCTATCCTCAGAGTTCTGGATGAGGGCCTAGAAACCCATATTAGGAAAACACAACACACTGTTCTAATGTGCATAAAATAGATCCCCTATACATTTTCATCTTTCTCTCCTTTTTTACTTTTCAATATGAAAATATTAAAACTTACAAAAAATAAAATGTGTTGAGGGCTCTTGTGTCAAGAGGCTGATCTGGAATCTCAAAGGCAAGTGGTTTGAATCCACTAGCTGCAGAGGGCAAAGGATGGGCAGTCTCCTGTGCAATTTACTGCCTCTGAAAACCCGCTGGAGGGTCAGCTATGAGTCAGTTCAACTCAACAGCACACAATATCAACTACATACATTTCTCTGGGGAGCTCTAATGTCCTGCTTAGTGGTAAACAGTTGTGTTGCCAACCGACAGATTTGAAGTTCTTATCCACCAGCTGCTCCTTGGAACAAAGATGGGCAATCTCCTCCCATGTGATCTACAGTGTCTGAAAGTTCACTGGAGGGTCAGCTGAGTCAGTTCCAACTTGACAGTACATAACAACAGCAACAACATATACCCCCTCGTTTCTTCCCCCAATGCCCTGGTAAAACCAGTTGGGGAAAAACTGCTGTTGTTGTTTGCTGCTGTCATATCAGACCCTGACTTGTGGCAACAGAACAAAACACTGCCTAACCCTGTGCCATGCCCATGAATAGTTAGAGCAGGGACGACCATGACCCAGAGGTTTTCTACTGGAGACTTTCAGGAGTAGATCACCAGTCTCTCTGCCTCGAAGCTCTTCTTACACTTTTGATGGTGAATGCCATCATAGCAACACACAAGCCTCTAATGACAGACGGCTGACTGGCAGAGCACCAGCCAGAACAGAACCCAATTCTCCCACACGGAAGATGAGGATTCCACCACGGAACCACCACTGTCCACTGAGAAGAAGTCACACAGGGAGAAAAGTTCTGGGTAAAGGATGAGCATTCTCCTCCCGTGCGATTGACAGCCTCTGAAAACCTGCTGGAGGGCCAGCTTTGAACCAGTCCTGACTTGATGGCAATGAGCTGAGTGCCCCAAGTTGACTGTGGCAGCAAGGGTTTTTACTACATTTTCAGTTTTTCAGGTGAGGAGGCAAAGACACAGCCATGTTTTGCAACTTGTTCAAATAGTGATGAGGCTGAGAGCTGAGCCCAAGACTCCTCAATCCCAGCACCGGGCTCTTCCCTGTGATGTGGGCCAGCAGTTTCACCCACCCACCCAAAGAGCCGCCCACTGCTGTTCTGTACTGCCTCTGTATTCCTGAGAAATACATACCCCAGATACGTTAGGATTTTGTATTTGGTCAGCTCTTCATATAGCACCTTCACTCCACTGTCAGTGATCTGGTTCACGCTGAGTCTGAAACACAACAGAAGAGCAGCAGCTTGCAGTAGCTGCTGGTTATGAAAGAGCTCTTATTCTGCAAAGATTCAGAAGCACACAGGCTTGAAGGGTTTTCAGGCAGCTGCACCTACTGTGAGAGGCGCTCTAATGGTAGTGAGATTGCCCCAAATGAGGCTGACCGCTATAGGGCCAGCAGGTCACCTAGCACCCGTTCCTCCATCAGGGCAAGAAGGGACACACCGGAAAGTCAGCAACCGTGCTGAATCCTGCATTTGTGAGCACCACATGGGTCAATCAGACCCTTTACATGGTTCTCACTGCAGGGGATGGGCACTGGGTCCCATGTTTGCACATGAGTGATGGTGCCAGTGACTGCTGAGCAAAAACCTGACATCCCTACAGGGTCTCTTGCCTGTATTTTTTATGGGAGTTGATTGCAAGGCCTTTCTTCCTGGGAGCCACTAAGCGGGTTTAAATCACTGACCTTAAGACTAGCAGCTGACTGCAAGCCCTTTGTGCCACCCAGTGTCTCCACAAGACCTGACCCACCCCAACCACTACAGGTCTCCCAGAGAAGGCTGATGGCTGGAGGTGCATGGCAGGCAGTGGGAGGGCACAGCATCCAGCAAGAGAGGCCTGGACCCCTGAGAGCCACAGAGCACGTCTGCTAGCTCAGAGCCGCCCACCTTCGAAATCTGTAGAAGGGAGAGATAAGCATAAGGGCAGTGGCCTCCTGAAGCAGGGCTTTGGGGTTCTAGTTCCAGCTGGAATGAAGTGTTAGGAGCTGTGAGAAAGGCGTCTGGTTGCTAAAAAGAAAAAAAAAAGGCTGCGTTTCAAACTGACCAGCTGTTCCCAGGGAGAAAGATGAGGCCTTTGGTGTCCACAAAGATTTAAGAGTTTGGGAACTCTGTGGGACAATGGGAATCAACTTGATAACAGGGTTTGTTTTATTGTTTTAACCTTCAGCCCAAACTGATCTTGCTACCCTTAGGAGGCCCAAGATGGAAGGTGGATGGGTTGGGCCACCACAGTGACCTGGAATCTCTGTTTTACAACAAAGCAGAAGGAGGCCCCCCTAAAGGAAACCTCCCGAGGCCTCAGCAAGAGGGAGGGTGGCTCCTAGAGGGCAGAGAACAGACTTGCAATTTCCACCAAGGGCAGCCTTCCGTTCTCAACATTCCCCCATCCCCACACAAGCAACACACTGCCTGGCCAACACAAGGGGCACAGCTCCTGGGGAAACTCAAATCAGGTGAGGGTGAATTTAAGCCCTGGTAGTGCCACCAACATTTCTTTTACACAGGAAGCATCAATAGACGCAAGTACTGCTCTTTCTCACATCTAAATCACCAGGGAGGCGAAAGACCCAGTGTTGGCATTTTCCTCAGAACCCCTGGCCACGCAGCTTTGATGGCTGCAGAGTGTACCCAGTGCCAATTAGTACAAGCTATGGGTTTTTTCTGCATGGTTTCATCCATGCAAACCTTTTAATGGGCAGCTTGACGGTGCACAGAAAGGCAGGCATCTCTATGCACTCCGGTTCCACTCAACTCCCACCGTGGGACCTTGAGAGAGTTACTAACTCCTATGTGCATCTGCAGACAAAATAACATGCCTTAGGATCGTTAAGAATTAAATGAGGTAATATGTGTAAGGCACTTCCTCTATTCTTAAGAAATGTTGGTAGTTGTTATAACCATCTACTTTAGCCAGATGGAGACAAGTTAAGCAACTTGCCCAAGGGTGCTCAGCTGGTGCTTATCTAGCTCTGTTGAACTTCAGAGAGGCTTTCTGCCACCCTGAAAGAGAAAAGGTGTGGCTATTCCCAGACCTGGGGCCATGCACCCCAGGACAATGGGTGGCGGATGAGCTGAAGTCCTCAAGGCCCATTCTGGAGCCCCAGTCTGGCCTGCCCACCGTCCACCTGTCTGCAGCTGGGTGGGGGCCTCACCTGACCACAGTTAGGCGGCTAAAGCAGGGCTGCAGCTCCCGCACACCATAGTCGTTGAGATTGTTGTTGTCCAGGTCGAGGGCCAGACGCTTGGGGAAGTGGTGCAGGACGAAGGCCAGGGCACTGCAGTCCGCCGAGCAGGCGTTACAGTAGGTCAGCTTGAGGTAGTCGGCACAGATGCCCCTGGCTGCCAGCTGCCCCACCTTCTCACTCTGGGTCTCGTAGATGCAGCGCAGCATCCAGATGAAGGTGGGCATGGCCTGCACCTGGTTGTGCTCCCCAGTGTGAACTCGGGGCAAGCTCTTCAAGTAGGACTTGAGGCTGGCAAACAGGTGTGCGCATAGGGCCTTGCGCTTTCTCCTGAGCACGGCCCTGGGCACCAGGTGCCCCAACAGTTTGTGTTTGGCTTTGGACAACAGCCCACACAGGAAGAGGTTGGTGAAGTGAAAGTGGTCCTTGTTCTTGAAAGGGTCTTCCCGTGGCAAGCTAGTGCTCCTCAGACATTGTGCGGGAAGGAAGAAGGGGAAGCAGGAGGGCACTGCCGCCTTCCCTGGAGGTGTCCACTCCTGGAAGAACCTGAGCAGGTCCTTCATGCCCACCCTGTCGTCCACCACTAGGAAAAAGGCGGTAAAGAAGGCCTGGAGGGTGATGTGGAAGAACTCACTGGACGGCTGCTCCCCTCCAGGCTCTGGCACTGACCGGAGGAAGCCCAGCTGCAGGTCTGCCTCCTGCAGCTCCGAGGCCTGCACCTGATCCTGGCTGAAAACAAACAGGCTACGCTCCATGCCCCAGTGGGCCAGCCGGCCCAGCGCGCGCAGGGTGCCCAGGCCCGAGCGGAAGGCCTCGGCCTGGCTCCGCGTGTTGCGCTGCACCAGGCTCGTGGGCTGCGTCCTGTTGAGGTGGACCTCAGTGGCCAGGAGGAAGATGTCAGTCAGCGTCACCGTGCAATCGGGCAGCTGCGGAGCGTCGTCGAAGGCGGCGTGGAAGTGCTGGAAGCAGCGGAAGATGATCCAGCAGAACAGGGGCACAGCGCACAGGCTGAAGAGGTTGGGGTTGGCTTCCAGCTGCTCCAGCAGGCGCGTCTGCAGCGCGCGCTCCGGGAACAGGTGCCGGGCGTAGGCGCGCAGGTGGCTGGGCGAGAAGCCGCGGAGGACCACCTTCTTCCGCAAGAGCTGCCTCGGGATCTCGATGCCCGTGCGCGCCGTGAGCAGCTTGGTGGCGCCCTTGAGCAGCTTCCCGCTGAGCAAGCTGGCCAGCAGGACCAGTGGATGCGCGGGCTCCAGCGGGGAGCAGGTGTCCAGCGCGCTGCTCAAGTCGAAGTCCGAGTGCAGTTCGTCCAGGCCGTCGAAGGTGAAGAGCGCCTTGTGCGGGAAGCGCAGCAGGAAGGCGAACACCTCCTCTGGGTCCTGCTCCGGGTAGCAGTAGTGCTTGAAGAGCAGGTCCTGCAGACACAGCGCATCGCTCTCCTTGAAGCAGCTGAACATGCGGCAGCGGAAGTGGAAGAAGAACTTGACGCCCGCGCCCAGCTGGCCGGAGGCCCACAGGCCCTGCAGGCGCTGCAGCAGCATGGTCTTGCCCACGCCCGCACTACCCGACACGAACACTGTCTCGCCCTGCTCGTTGAGAAGGCCCGTGGAGTGGTCCAGGAGGCCGGCCAGGCTGCCCAGGAGGCCCAGGCTCTCGTTGCTGAAGTCAACGAGCTCCATGTCCGTGTCCATGTACACCTCCTCCAGCAGCAGCTCCTCTTTCTGCCCATAGCACAGGATAAACTTGGAGTCGCAGCCCAGGTGATGGCGCAGCTTCTGGGTGTATCTGCTCACTAGGGGCGCGGCAGGGGGGGATGGAGAGAGGTGGTCAGGGGAGGGGCCAGGGATGGGGGGTAGACACAGAGGAGGGAACTGCATCAAACAGGATCAGACAGAGAGAAGCGGCTAACCACACTGACAAAACCCACAGCCTGAACTCAGAGGCCCCATTGCAACAAACAGCTCCTCAGACGCAGGCCCTCCACTTAAGGTCCTACAGCTTCAATCTCTCGGTCTCGCTTCCCTTTAATCACCAGAAGGTGGCAGACTTCAACTGGGACCTGAGACCCCCAAAATACCAAAGCCATTGCCACAGAGTCAATCCCCCACTCAGCTCACGGGGCCCTGCCTCCCTTTTCCTCTGTCCCAGACTGCCTGTGACTTGCAGGCGCAAAAGGCAGCCCCCTCAAATGTGGTGGCCACCTGGGATGGCTGCTGGTTCTGCCCTCACCCTTCCTCCAGGCCTGCTCAAGCAGTATAGCCCAGCCCAAGGGCTGCAACAGTGGGTTTAAGCCCAGCAGCAGATAAGGCTGGTGTTCTGTTATGGGGAGGCTGGGGTCGCTGAGTCAGAGCTGACTTGATGGCACCAAACAGTGACACAGAAAATACCCTGGCCTTTCTTCTCCTTGAAGCATTAGCTGTTAGCACAAACGTGAAAGGGGATGCCAAAACCATGCCTGTTTATCATCACTCCGTGTTATAATGGAACTATTACCCTTCTGAAACACCACAACGGGGTAGATGAACATGGAAACCAGCCTTACTCTACCATAGGGAACCCTAGTTCTTATTCCTGGGGAGAGGCCCTCAGGAGGACTGAACCCTGAGTGAACCCTGAGTGAGCCCCGGAAGGCCCATCATGGTGGGCGCTCAGCCATGTTTACATGGATGCTGTGCTCTCAGCAGACCTGAGCCTTGGAAACAGATGCATACAAATAGGTGGGGGCTCCTCCCCAAACAAAAAAATTCCCTAAATTCCTCTAAAATGGCACTCTGGATTCTAACCATAATAGTTAAAACAACAGCAGTTTTTTTTGACAAAGTACACTTCTAGAAATGGACCTATAATCCATTCATATCAACTTAGTTCAATTTGAGGATGTGTTTAAACATTGTAAAGTGAATTACAGATATCTTATAGCTTCACTGAAGCATAATTTAGATGCATCAGTGTTGTTTGTATACTGTGGCGCAGTCCGGAGAGGGTTGTGTTGCTAACCCCAAGGTGGTGCCTCTCTGGCGGTTCTGTTCTGCGGCAGAAAGATCAACAATCTCCTCAGGTACAATCCCAGCCTCCAAAAACCCACTGAAGGGTCAGCTATGAGTCGACTCTGACTCGACAGCAATGAGTTTTAATGAGTCAGTATTTTCAGCAAATTTATCAAAAGTTGTGCAAACATCTTATCACCACAACCCAGCTGTGCAATGATGTCACCATCCTCCCTGCCCCATAAATTCCTTAGGGTCCTTTTTTAGTCAATCTCTGCTGTCATGCTAGGAAGCTCCTCACTTGCTTTCTGTCTCAAACTTTGCCTTTTCTGCACAAGGAGTCGGTGGGGGCACAGATTAAGTCATCTTTTACACCAGTCTTTTTATGCAGTGACTTTAAAGCTGGGCAAGAAACAAACAGAGATGCCTCTTCTAAGATATCCTCACTACAGCAATGTTTTGAATTTTTATAGGAGACAAAAAAGGAGGAGGCTGGAAGGTGAAGTAAGAGCAGGAAGATGCAAAAGTGTGGCCCCTGGTGCCTGACTGGCTCTGGGGGGTCACAGAAGCAGACCTGTCCCTGACTCTCCTGGTGGTTCGCCTAAGTGTAATCCTGACTACCTTGACATTATCTTTCACTTTGGTTTTCAAGGTCAAACTGTATTTTTTAAAAAATCAGAGTTTGGTAGACCTTTTACTACCAAAATTACCATCTAGCTCTAAGACTTCAGGGGGGCTTTTGGGTTTGACATTTAGAGGTGGTTCAGGAGAGTTTGGGGAGCTCATCTAGTCTAAGTAGCTCTGGTGGCATAGTCGAGAGGGAATTGTGCTGCTAACCCAGTGGCCTCTCTGGCAGTTTGAATCCACGAGCTGCTCTTCCTGCTCTTCGGGAGAAAGATGGGCAGGCTCCTCTTGGGGGAGCCACAGCCTCTGAAAATCCACAAAAGGGCAGCCATGAGTCAGTTCTGACTCAATGGCAATGAGTGAGTGCCCTTTAAAGAACTATGTGCATGGGATCCAACTGGCAAGACCAATTTCAAAGGTCAGCCAGTGAACCCAGGGGCCAGTGAGGCTACATTAAAAGGAGCAGAACAATTCCGAAATGGAAGGTGGGAGTGGTCGCACAGGTCAAAGAACGTGATCAACATCATTGACGAGAACATGTAGAAATTATTGAATTGATGTGTGCTTCACTGTGTGTATTTTCAACAAGAAAGTTAAAAAAATTTAAATATGCCATATTATGAAATAGTTGTTGTCAGAAACCAACTCACAGCTGGACCCTGAAGGGAGTTTTCAGATGTAGTAAGTCACACAGAAGGAGAATACCCATCCTTCTCCCTCAAAGCAGCTGGAGGACTCGAACCACATTCCTTTGGGTTGGCAGCACAACTCCTTTCCCACTAAGCCAACAGTATCTTAAATATTATGCACCTGAGGTGGGGGGGGGGATCAGAGTTTTGAATGTGGTAGCTGGCATGTTGCCTGTGAATGTTTCAAAGTAGAAAGTGCAAAATGGATTATCTGGATGGAATATATGCTCCCACAGGTCCCAAAATTGCTCTTGTCCTCTATCACCATTTGAAATTAGATATTTGTGTGATTACTTAGTCAGTGTGCTCCCCTGCTTCAGCCTCTGAGCTCCCTGAGGGCAAGAGAGCAGGACAGAAGCCTACTCACCACTGTATCCATGGCACCTGTGCAGAGCTTTGGCACATAGTAGGTGCACTATAAATGCTTGCTGACCTGGCCAGTAATTCACTAGGATCCCAAGATGCTTTAGATATAAGGAATGATAGACGCCCAAAGTGGAAAGATGATAGACACCCAAAGTGGAAAGAGTACTTTGCTTATTTAAAAAGAAAAAAAAAATCTGGCCTTGAATTTGTACAACCATTTAAAATCGCCACTGATACTCAAATAAGGAGTAAACAAGTGGTCAGATTTGGGGCTGTAACCACACTTCCATGGAATGAGACTGCTACAGGTGGCCAATTCAAGTACAGCCACCTGGACCGTGCTTGGGAGACACAGATCATCTGTTCCTTCCAAAATGAAGACAGCACCTCCCTGAGGTGGGATCCTAAGATGAGGCCCTAAGGTGAGGCCTTGAGGTGGGGTCCTAAGGTGAAGCCCTGAAATGAAGCCCAAAGGTGGAGCCCTGAGGTGAGATCCTGGGGTGGGATCCTGAGATGAGGCCCTATGGTGAGGCCCTGAGATGGAGCCTGGAGATGGAGACCTGAGGTGGAGCCCTGGGGTACCAGTTAGGGTCGACCATGCCATTGTCAGAGCTGGGCTGGCACTATAGCGATGTTAGCATTTCCAAACCCCTGGGCCAGGAGCTGACCATACCTGGGTCGGTGTTGACCACAACTCTGCTCTGAATGAGCTGGGAAGGGGAGAAGCCGATCTCCGACAGCCAAGGCCTGAGGTCCACGTATGCGTCCTCGAGTCGCTGCAGCACATAGAGGAGGAACTCGCACACCTCCTCACCCTTGCTCTGCACCAGGTCCAGGAGTTTGCGGACCTGTTGATGACACAAGCAGGACATGAGCTGGCACTAATATCAGCCTCCCACAGGAAGGGCCCAGGTGAGCATGAGGCACGGCCCTGGGATCTTGCTACAACCATTAGCTCAGACATTCTGCAACTGATGTGAGAGTGTCCGGGGTGGAGTTCCAGGATCTATGACACCGACCACCTTGGAAATAAACCCATGTGGCTCTAAGAAACCAGGAGGCTTCCATGAGCCTGCAAATAAAATGCAAGGTAAGACTCACAACTAGAGGCAGTGTGTCCACAACAGAATCCTCTCTTAACTGGTTTTCCCTCTTCATCTTACACTACTGCCGTCCAGGAGACTCTGGTACACACGCTCAGCTACTAACCAGAAAGCTGGTGATTTGCTTCTGAGAGATGAAAACTTTCAAGGAGCACAGTTCACCTCAGACACACGTGGAGTCAACCACAGAGGGATTAATTTTAAAGAGTGCTGTTGGGGGGTGCATAATGTGTGACGTTGCTAACCAAAGGGTTGGTGGTTCAAATTTACCAGGTGATTCTTGGGAGAAATATGAACAGTCTCCTCCATCAAGATTTATAGCCAGAAGCCAGAGGTTGGATGGCTGAGTCAGAACCATCTCCCAGTGGGCTGGTACTGGGAAGGTGGGGGTTGCTGTCAGAGACTAGTTTTACTGTCACCTAGTGATTAAAAACCTCCAGTGATACGGTGTGTAACGTACTGTACTGCTAACCAAAAGGTCAAGGGTTCAAATCCACCAGCTGTTCTGTGGGAGAAAGAGGGACCATACCTTCCTTTGGGATTAACTGCCTCTGAGACCCCGCTGGAGGGACAGCTATGAGTTAGTCCCTACCCAATGGTACACAGCCACAACCAGGGTATCGAGGTGGGATGCTGGATCACACTGCAAGAGGATAGCAAATCCTCCAAGACGCTTTATATTTAAAAGGGCATTGCTGTTAATTTAAAACATAGAAAACCAATCAAGAGACCAAAGCACAGAACTTTCCCCTCTGCCCTGACCCTCAGCTGGCCACCTCACAAAAGAGGCTTATTATTATGTGACAAGCCATTCCTCTACCATGGAAGACTTCTCTAGTCTTACAAATGCCTTTTTTCCAAAGAGGACACAAGCCAAGTGGAGGTAAGGGCTATAAAGACACCCCACAAGTGGAGCATAAACTATTCTTTATTGTGGGCCCAGGGCCATTCCAGAGGCAGCACTAGACTCGTTCTCCAAGTTTCCTCAGCAAGAAGCAGTTCTCCAAAGACACTAAGTAAACATCATTGCTTCTGTTTCCTGCTTGCTTCCTTTTTCTCTCCTAATTTAAAGTGAATTTGTATAAGGTTGCCATGTGAGCCAAAGCATCCCACCCTCTTCTACTACCATACTCTGGGTACCTTGTCAGGCTGGGTGGGGCAGGCACGCACGATCTCCACGTCTTCCTCCGAGAAGTAGTCATTCTTCAGCAGGTTGTCCAGCAGGCACTGCGTGTTGCGGATGTGGGTGACCAGAAGCTCCCGGTTGATTACGAGCAATTTAATGTGGGAGGGAGACTCGGGCTGGGCTATTCCCATCTCATTCCAGGCCAGCTTCTCCATGGTGAAAGCAGCAAGCTGCTACTCCCCCACATTCATCTCCAGCTGCATCTGTCTTCCTGGCCAAGGGAAACCAGGACCCAGGGCTCCTGACCCTCAGTGCAAAATCTGAGGAGAAAACTCACCATCAAAATCAAGGTCACTGGAAGAATTTTCCCATCTCCCCTCCCGCAGTATCCTAGGATGTTTCTACTAAGAGCAGGAGGGATCATGATTAAGAAATCATCTGAGGTCACCTACAACCAGGAAAGAATAAAATAGATAAATGGTACTTTCTAAGAATCAAATCCTCATACACATCAAAAATCTCTCAAGCAGGGTAAAAAGGAAAACCACAGACTGGAAAAAAAATTGATAATGATGTATCTGTAAAGGGACTCATATCTAAAATTTATAGATTACTTCAGCACCTCAACACGAAAAAGATAAGCAATCCAATCACAAAATGGGCACAGGATATGAACAGACACTTCACCAAAGAAGACATTCAGACGGTGAACAAACATATGAAGAAGTGTTCAAAATCCCTAGTTCTAAGAGAGATGCAAATCAAAACAACTATGAGATACCATCTCCCCCCAGTAACAACAGCAAAGTTCAACAGAGCAGCAAACAATAAATGCTGGTAAGATTGTAGAGAGATAGTAACTGTAATTCACTGCTGGTCGAAGTGTAAAATGGTACAGCCACTATGGAAGGCAGTTCAGCGCTTTCTCAAAAAGTTGGAAATAGAAATACCATTTAACCCAGCAATTCCACTACTGGGAATATATCCTAGAGACACCATAACTTCCATACAAACAGATACATTCACACTCATGTTTATTGCTGCATTATTTACAATAGCAAAGAGATGGAAGCAACCCAAGTGCCTATCCACAAATTAATAGAAAAAAAATGATGGTATATTCATACAATGGATACTATGCAGAAGCAGCACTGAAAAACAATGAAATCCTAAAACATTACATAACATGGGTGACCCTGCAGGATATTATGCTGAGTGAAAGATTTCAATCACAAAAGGACAAATACTGCATAGAACCACTATTATAAAGCAGTTCTGACATGAGGGTTTGGGAGAATATGACTAAGAGTGGATAATGAACATTGCATTGGAACAGATGAAGGAAAGAACTGTTTTAAAAGGAATAGATGATTAGGCATTCTATGTATGACAACAGCCCAGAATAAGAGGTTCACTGCAAAGAGGACACAGCGGAGGGAGGGAGGTAATTGTGCAGTAATGACTGACTATTAAAAAAAAAAAGGAGGGAGAGGGGGTAAAACCATGCAATAATGAATGAATGAAAATCTAACTCTTTTGTAACCTTTAATTAAAATCACAATTCAAAGAAATTATTTTAAAAAAGCATCTGAGGTCATCATGATAAACATAATCAGGGCTGCTGACTTGTGCATATAGAGATAGATGGTTAAAATGCAAAGGTTTTGTTTACTACAAGGAGCTCTGGTAGCATAGTCCGGAGGGAGTTGTGCTGCCCACCCAAAAGGCCACACCTCACTGAGAGTTCGAATCCACCAGCTGGTCCTTGGGAGAAAGACAGTCTCCTTTCACGAGATTTCTAACCACTGAAAACCTGTTATAGGATCAGCCAGGAGTTAGTTCTGACTCAACAGCAGTGAGGTGTTTTTTTAAATTTAATTTTAATGAATATTTACAGAGATTTTGGATTTCTATACATTCATTGTTGCATAGTAGTGAGTTTTTGAGTTGAGATATTTATTACAATTTTTTAAAAAAGAAAAGAAAAGAAAAATATTGAAGTTCTTTATATCTGAGATGTATTATAAGAAAAACACGATTTAAAAGTGGCTTGTAGGCCAGCCCTTCATGTTCTAAGGAGGGAGGTCCAGCCCTTTGGGGATTTAATTTTCTAATAAATCTATGTTTTACTATTTGACTTTCAAAAAAAAAAGCTTCTTTTAGGCTGCCTCTCTAGACAAAGCATCCACAAATAGTCAACTCTTTTCCCCCCCATTAAGCATGCCTAGATGTTAAAATAGAATAGAGGTAGAAAAACAGATTGCTTTGCACATAATTTTGATGGAGTTGGAGGTTTCTGTGTTTCCCACAAGAAGAGAGTGTCTGATTTAAAGCAGAAGAGCTCTGGGCGAGTCTTGTTGGGGAGAGAAGATCCAAGCTACAAGCTGCTGTTGTTAGGTGCCATCAAGTCAGCAGCAATTCAAAGAGTCCCCATCCTGAGCCCTTTTCACCACCCCAATACACCTGAGCCCACTGCTCTTGCCACTGTACTGATCCATCTCATGGAGGGTCTTTCTCTCTTTCATTGACCTTTCCAAAGTATAATGTCTTTTTCCAAGGATTGGCCTCTCTTAACAACATGCTCAAATTATGTGAGACAGAGTACCCTGGCTGCACCTTCTCCACGACAAGCTTGTTGGTTCTCTTGGCAGCCCATGGGATGGTCAGTTCTCTTTTCCAACACCACAACAGAGGCATCAATTATCCTACTATCATCCTTAGTCAGTGTCCAACTTTCTAATGCAACTGAGAAGACTATGGCTTGAATCAGACACACTTTTATTTTTCCATTATTATTTTATTTTTATTCTTTAAACTGGACCTTGGCGAAGTCTGTGAGAGCAGACACTCCCCCAATTAAACATGTCTTTTGATTTCCTGACTGCTGTTGCCATGGATGTTGATCGTGGATCCAAGTAAGATGAAATAATTAACTAGTTGAATTTTCTCTCCATCTATCATGATGTTGTCTCTTGGCCTAGTGGTGAGAATTTTTGTTTTCTTGATGTTAGAAGTCTTTGATATTGTAATTTTTGCTCTTCTGCAATAAGCACCTCAGGTCCTCCTCATTTTTGGCAAGCAAAGTTGTGTTATCTGCATACTACAGTTTGTTGATGAGCCTTCCTCCAATGTTGACTCTTCTTCATAAAGTCTAGCCTCTGGAATGATTTGCTCTGCATACAGAGTGAATAGATATGGAGAAAGGATATATCCCTGATGCACACCTTTCTTAATTTTAAACTATGCAGCATCTTCTTGCTCTATTCCAACAACAGCCTCTTATGTATAGGTTTCATGTGAGCACAAGTGTTCTAGGAACCCCAGTCTTCTCAATGTTAGCCATAAGTTGCTATGATCATCACAGTCAAATGTCTTTGAAGAGTCTATAAAAAACACAAAAAAAATTCTTCTGGTATTCTCTGCCTCAGCCAAGATCCATCCACAGCCTCTTCTAAATCCAGCTTGAATGTTGGCAGTTCTTTGTTGATGTATTGTGCCAGCCCTTTTTGGGATGATCTTCTGCAAGACTTTACTTGTGTGTGATATTAATGATATTTTCCGATATTTTTTTGCAACAAGTAGGCAGAGGAAAGTGACAGCAGGCATGAGTTGTCTTAGGGTGAGAGCCGGGGAAGGCACCAAGGACAAGGATGTCCTGGTCATTACTGCCTGGCCTGGGTTGTGCTGTGGTCCTTCCCTGGTTCCTTCATGGCCCCTGAAAAGTCTGTTCCAGACAACCACCCTGGGGAATGAAGGAGGAACAAGATCGGGAAGAGAGCAAAGTGGGGCAGCAGAGGGGAAGAGCTGCCTAGGAACCCGGTGTGTGAATGACCTGGGAATCCCCCCAAGTCTCATGCTTGTGCCAAACTTTCCACTTGGGCAGGAGCAGGGGACCAAGATATTTGGGGAGATACCCTGGCATTGATCTGAGATCTCTCAAATTGAACTGACTTGCTTTCCTATCACCACCACAGCACCAACGATCCTTCCGTGGCTTCCTTTCTAATCATCCTTCTTTGATATCTAGTGTCGCTATAACAGAGATACCACAAGTGAATGGCTAAACAAACAGAGATGTATTCTCTTACAGTTTGTTGTTGTTAGGCGCTATCGAGTGTACAACTCATAGAGATCCTATGAATGACAGATATGAACCCTGCCCTGTCCTGTGCCATCCTCATCATCTCTGACACACTTGAGTCCACCGGTACAGTCATTGTGTCAATGCATCTCATTAGGGTCTTGCCCTCCTTCGCTGACCCTTCACTCCTCTAAGCATGATGCCATTTTCAAGGACTGACACTTTCTAAAAGAATGCCCAAAGTAGGTGAGATGATATTTCACCATCCTTCTCTTTAAGGAGCACCCCAGTTGCACCCTCTCCAAGTCATATTTGTCTGTTCTCTTGATAATCCATGGGCTATTCAGTGCCCTTTTCTAGCATCAAAACTCAAAAGCATCAACTCTTTTGTGATTTTTATTAATGTTTCCAACTCTCAGATGTATAGCAAGTAATTGAAAAGACCATAGACTGGGTCAGGCATACCTTCGTCTTTAAACTGATATCCTTGCTCTTCAGCATTTTGGAGACGTCCCTAACTGCAGACTTTCGTATTGCAACACGTTTTGATTTCCTGACTGTTATTACTAAGAGATTATGGATCTAAACTAGATTAAATCATTGACAACTCCTATCTTTCCTCCCTCTATCTTGATGTTGCCCATTGGTAAGGATTTTTGTTTTCTTGACCTTGAGATGTAACCCATATTGAAGGCTGAAGTCTTTGATACTCTGCAGCAAGCATTTCAATTCATCTTTATTTTCAGCAAGCAAGGTCGTGTCTTTTGTGTAACTCAGATTATTGATGAGTCTTCCTCCAATCAGGATGCCACATTCTTCTTTCTCATAAAGTCCAGCTTCTGGAATGATTTGCTCAGCATAAAGAGTCAACAGGTATGATAAAGGATACAGCTCCGAAACACACATTTCCTGATTTTTAACCATGCAATATTCCCATGCTCTGTTCGGGTAACAGTTTCTTAATCTAGGCATAGGTTTTATGTGAGTGTGATTAAGTGTTCTGGAATTCTCATTCTTCTCAATGTTAGCCATGATTTGTTATGATCTACACAGTAGAATGCCTTTGCATAGTCAATAAAACACAAGTAGACATCCTTTTAGTATTCTCTGCTTTCAGCCAAGATCTATCTGACT